AGATCCAGACCGCTGTACGGCTCTTACTGCCCGGAGAGCTGGCCAAGCACGCCGTGTCTGAGGGCACCAAAGCAGTGACAAAGTACACCAGCGCCAAGTAAAGCCCCCATCACCCAAACCCTAATAACACAAAGGCTCTTTTAAGAGCCACCCACACAATCCACGAGAGAGCTGTATAGATATACTGAGAGTATTCTCTGTGCAGAATGTTACAAGTAATCGATTATAGCGGTCTTTTTATTCTACCACTCTAGAGGAGAAGATTCTGTCTATGGCGTTACATTATTTCAGTTTTAAATTCAAGTTCTAATAAGTTGCAAAACACTCAGTGGTAGAACCTATGGTATTACACTTATTTAGCTGGTTATAATATATACAAAAGGAACGTATCCGAAATTAATTTGTATCAATCGTACAAATGAAACAAGTTACAATTCACACTCCTCTATAGATTTTCTTTACTTTTATGTTGCTATCTCGAGGATACAAATTGCAAAGGATTAAATCTATATATAGATCCTAGTTGAAACAAGTACCCGATAACTAACTGAACACTCTATATCTCATAATTCCTGTGGTAAATAATTCGTGTTTTTTCTCTTAATTTTGTATTTATTACCAGATGTATATATTAACACATGCTTTTGTTGGGATTTCAAAAGCGGGAAAGTCTGTTACAAAATGGCGAAGTTTAAAAATTCTACACTTTCTCTCCCGCCCTTTTACGCCACATACTAATTGCAATTTCAATGAAAGAGCAGTATTTTGTTTTGTAACAATAGAAGCAGTTTGTCTTTCAGACTCCGGTGGCAGCGAGTGCTATATAGTTTGTACGGACTGTGGCGGTTAGAGAATTATAAAGCAAATTATTCTCCAAACTCGGATTAACCCTATAGAATTATTTTTTTAAATATAAAAAGCTAAAATGGTCTGTTATCACAGCAGCTTTCCTCTCCGGCCGCAGTTTAGTGCTAAGAGGATTCTAGTTTTACCAACATGCTGATTGCAGTTTCTATTTATATAAAACAAAATGCTGCTCTTTCAATGAAATAGTTTAATTATTTTAGACTGTGACGGTTAGAGAACTATAAAGCAAGTTACTCTCCAAACTCTAACACAGTACAGAATGTTTGTAGTTTTTGTCTGTTTCGATGTGCATGAATTCAGTGTGTCTGCATGTTTTTTATCTTAAAAGCTTGAATGGTTGGTTTTCTCACAGCAGCTTTCCTCTCCTCTCTCTTTAGTGCTAAGAGAAGTCTATCCTTACTAAAATATAAGATGTTTGTATTTGAGGCTTCAACTCTTCCAAGTCACATTTAATAAAACATTTATTCATTGTGCATTCATGCAGAAATATGTAGAATATGAAATTTAATACAGGCTGTATTGATAGGGAGTGAAACACGAGCCATTGCAGTCTGTTATAACCGAAGACTACTCTAATTTCTCGTTCCCCGATATTCTCGGGAGGATTGAAAGAGCCAACCTGGTGGAATTATAAGTATGATGCTCTAACAATCCAATTCTATTTGGCTTCATGTAATTTTGCATCATAACTATTTTTGTTTCTGTTTTATGGCATATTTTACCTTCAAAGATTCGGGACCGCAATAGGGCAAAATCTACCCCCTCGTATACCAATCTCTAAATGTGGTGATGGCATATTTTACCTCTAACTTCTGTATCTAGACATATTTAATTTTAATCTCTTTATGTGGTAATAAAACATTTTACTAGTAAATGCCGTTTGCACTAAATACTTGCAGTCGTTACAAGCTCGAATGAGGTAGAAATCTTTCCCGCCGGCGGGTCTCTTATTTTCAGTTCAAAAATTATTATTCATCAAATCACCGCAAAGCACGAGTACAACCTACAGCATCAGCCAATCATCGACAAGCCCCACCAGTGACGTGTGATTTGTGTTGCAGTTCCCCATCCGGTCCGCTCAGGAGACATATAAGGGCAGGCGGCCGAGAGCGGAGTATTTATTGTTCTAATTGTCTCATCGCAGGATGTCTGGTCGCGGTAAAGGAGGGAAAGGGCTCGGTAAAGGAGGTGCCAAGCGGCACAGGAAGGTGCTCCGGGATAACATCCAGGGGATCACTAAACCGGCTATCCGCCGTTTGGCTCGCAGAGGAGGCGTCAAGCGAATCTCCGGCCTCATTTACGAGGAGACTCGCGGAGTGCTCAAAGTCTTCCTGGAGAATGTTATCCGCGATGCCGTCACCTACACCGAGCACGCCAAGAGGAAGACGGTCACCGCCATGGACGTGGTGTACGCGCTCAAACGCCAGGGCCGCACTCTCTACGGTTTCGGAGGTTAAACGCTTCTCTTCCATCCTTTATACAAACCAAAGGCTCTTTTCAGAGCCGCCCACTCCTTCCCTCATAAGGCTATAATTCCACCAGGATGGCTCTTCCAATCCTACCGAGAATATCGGGGAACGAGAAATTAGAGTAGACTTCGGTTATAACAGACTGCAATGGCTAGTGTTTCACTTCCTATCAATACAGCTAGTATTAGATTTCATATCCTACATCTCTGCTTGAATTCACAATGAATAAATGCTTTATTAAATGTTAAATATAAGATGTCTGTATTTGAGGCTTTAATTCTCCATGTTAGTAACAGACTTTCCCTCTCTCGAAATGCCAACAAAATCATGCGAATTGTATACATCTGGTAATTAATACAATTTAAGAATGAAAAACCATGAATTATTTGTTACCACAGAAGGCGTTTTTAGAATATTCAGTTAGTTTGCGGGTGCTAGTTTCGACGAGGATATATTTAAAAGAAAGAAACCATTACAATCTGTATCCACGAGATGGCAACATATAACAAATGTAAAAATCAATAAATCTAAAGAGTGTGAATTGAGACGTTTCATTATAACATAGATTGATACATATTAGTTTCGGAATGTTGTATAATTTAGGATACATTATTATTTACTATATTAGAGGGTATGGTAGTTGTACAAATATTATTTACAATGGTAGATATTAAAGATTTTTATACAACATTGTTTCATGTGTGAAGAAAGGGGATTTCACACATGGTGTTAGAGCATTCTTTTAGGTTCTATGTACTAAGATATATTGTTGTGTAAGTATGGTATGAAATCATAAGATGGAGCAAAGTTCAGGACGTTTTCCAAGGACTCTGATTTGAGCATTGTGTACCGAGATTGATTTTCAGGCCAATCGTGTTCCCCTTATCCATATCTATAGGTATTAAACGTACCAAAATAAATCAAATATACATTAAAGTATCTATTTTGTGTTTATTCACTGTGGATGTTATCTCCGTAAGATAAAGAAATACATTTACAAATCAGACCCCCTAGTGATTGTCAAATTATGCTACATATAGTTCGGAGTGTAATGCAAAGAGCACTATAAACACGTCTATCAGGTAGGATAATTAAAAACAAATACACATTCATCTCATCTCTTTAATTGTAACACTAAGTGGCCGTAAGGGTTCGCTTTTACCGAATGGCAATTTGCAACAAGCATGAGATACTTTGTACAAAAGTTTCTATTGAAAGATATGCTGACATTCTAACGTTTTCCCCATGTAGTTCTCAATATGAACCAGGGAACGTTGATAAACAGATCACAGAAACTTTATAATTAAAGATGGGCACCACCAGTCTATATAGAGATTAGCGTAAGAGGCAATTCTTGCACATTTTTGGAGGCAAACCATACGAAACCGAAAAACCCCGTTATGATGCAAAATAAACCAAATATAATTGAAGAAATGAGCGGTCCTGCCATAAGGTAATTATTTCTAAGTTCTCGTATTTATATTAATGTATTTGTATACATTAAAACTCACAGCACGATGTGATTGCTAGTAAACTTTAGGATATTAGTTTAAAAAAAATAAACCCCATAATCATGGATAATACAGGGTGCGGGAGTATTTGACAAGCTCGTTTGATTGATTAGATGGTGGCTCTGAAAAGAGCCTTTGGTTAGAGAAATTGATAGATTGGTCAGAGAAATGGGTTTAAGCGCGTTCTCCTCTGATCCTGCGAGCCAACTGGATATCTTTGGGCATGATGGTCACTCTCTTGGCATGGATGGCACACAGGTTGGTATCCTCGAAGAGCCCAACCAGGTAAGCCTCGCTAGCCTCTTGAAGGGCCATGACAGCAGAGCTCTGGAAGCGCAGATCGGTTTTGAAGTCCTGGGCGATCTCACGGACCAGGCGCTGAAAGGGCAGTTTGCGGATCAGCAGCTCAGTGGATTTCTGATAGCGGCGGATTTCCCGAAGAGCTACCGTGCCAGGGCGGTAACGGTGAGGTTTCTTGACACCACCGGTAGCAGGAGCGCTTTTCCTGGCAGCCTTGGTGGCCAACTGCTTCCTAGGAGCCTTCCCTCCGGTGGATTTGCGGGCTGTCTGCTTGGTACGGGCCATTCTGTCTAATGGAGATACGCACCTAACACGAGGTTAACAGGAACTGTAACTGGAGAAGCGCGAACCGAGTTCTTTATAGAACATGGATGGATCTGATTGGACAAAATGCACCACGCCCCTAACTCTGATAGGAGGAGACAGAATCTGCTACTGAGAGACAAAAGTGTAGATTGTAATACAGAGCACAGTGCATCCTCTTTTAATCTTACACTGCCATCTAGTGACATTTACCGGTACTGAAAATGTGATTTAGTTCCTAGAACTAATTTATCTGTATAGAACATAGAATCAGTGTAAGAATGAAAAGAGTATCAATATGTATTTCGGTAACTTCTTTATCTAGACACATTTAATTTGAATCTCTTTATCTGTGTTTATTATGTATGAAGCGGAGGAGGGAGGGGGAATAAAATATTTTATTAATAAATTCAGTCTGCATTAAATACTTGACGAAAATCACCGCAAAGCACGAGTACAACCTACTGCATCAGCCAATCATCGACAAGCTCCGCCCAGTGACGTGTGATTTGTGTTGCAGTTCCCCATCCAGTCCGCTAAGGAGACATATAAGGGCAGGTGACCGTGGGGGTGAGTATTCATTGTTCTACTTGTCTCATCTCACCCAAAAACAAGGATCTTACAACTGCGCAGTAAGCACACTATTTGACTCTTCAATTTGACTCTCAGATATGAAGAGCAGGCCACAAAATGTACTATTTGCAGATTAGCACCCAGAAAATAAGAATGTTTACCACTGCGCTGTAAGCACACTATTAGATGCTTCTATTTGACTCTCAGATATGAAGTGCACCCCACTAAAATACTATTTAGCAGTTTAGCACCCAAAATTTTTTACGTTTTAAAACTGCAATGTGACAGCAGAATTTGACGCTTCTATTTGACTCTCAGTAATAGAAGCATCAAATACTGCTGTCACACTGCAGTTTTAGTACTATCCCACTAATGTATTATTTAGCACCAGAAAAAAAAAATTAACTTTTTAAAACTCCGATGTAACCGCGGGCACACAAGTCAAACGCTTGTTGATTGGCTGCCCTGCAGCCTTTGAAAACGTGCCATTAAATAGCCGAACACCGGACTCCAACCCGAACATACAGTGATATGTCCGTGTTCGGGTCCGGGGTCCAAAAAACGTAATGTTTGGTATAAACCCGAACTTTACAGTTCTTTACAGTTCAGGTTCGCTCTACTCTAGTCTGAACTTTGCTCCATCTTATGATTTCAACTGATTTCTTACTATACTTTCACAATAATGTAAATTAGTACATATAACCTAAAAGAATGCTCTAACACCGTGTGTGAAATCCCCTTTCTTCACACATGAAACAATGTTGTGTAAAAATCTTTAATGTCATTTTGCTGGAGCTCCTGCAAACAAACCTCAAATCTGCCCGATATCATCGGAACACGAGCCCATCCAGCCTCCAAAAGCATAAAATCGGACTCTGCTACCCGAGCTGCAAGCGTCGATGCCCTTCTTACAGCCGCAAAAACAGCCTAAGCGGCGACGGAAAACCGAGGCCTACCACCCTCTCCAAATCCCCAGCCTCGCGTCACTCTTTGGCGGAGACCCTGCGGAACGGCTGAGAGCGTCCCCATCACAAACATCACCCACCACACTCACCATGGGCCGTAAATCACAGAGACCCACCACAGGGTCGGATACCAGGGACATTGGGGCGCTGCTCCAGAAGCCCAAACACACTCAGGCCGTAGACCAACCGGACACAGAACTGGAACCGGACCGCCACGAGATGGAGGTACCACATCACCCCCAGGTGGTAAGACCCGCACAAGCGGACCCTCTGGATGAATCAGCCCCAACAACTAGGGGAGACCTGAAGGTTTTATTAGCTGATATCCACAAGCTCCTGGCTGCAGATTTAGCTGTATTTACAACACAGCTACAGGCCGTAACAGAGAGAGTCAAGGCCACAGAGGGGGCTATAGCAGATACACAAACTGCCATGCAAACCATGCAGGACTCTATCCACCAATTACAAACGCACCAGACTACCCTGAACGCAAAACTCATAATACTAGAGGATAGACAACTCCGCGCAAACATCAAAATAAGGGGTATCCCTACGGCAATATCCGCGGAGGAACTTCCCCACTACACCCGACGCCTCTTGACATCTATATTACCTCCCACGCTGGCCCGCAAAATCACAGTGGAAAGTTTATATCGCATCCCCAATACCACCAACACTAATACCAACCTGAACCGGGATGTCATCCTGCGCTTCCACTCAGTACAAGACAAAATACATGTCATGTCAGCCGTGAAGGGCAAAACCCCTCTTTTATTTGAGAATGATACCTTGAACTTCTTCCAAGACCTCACTAAAGCAACACTGCTATGGAGGAAAACCTACGCACCGGTAACATCCCAACTACGCATGGCAGGACTGCCATACAGATGGGGAACCGACAACTCCTTAACGGTCACCGCAGAAGGAACTACGCATGTCCTCCACACCATGGCCGATGCAGCCTCTTTTTTGAGAAAATTGGGACTACCCATTCCAACCGATAATCATACGCTTCCTGAGAGTGCCAGAGACCCGGCCACCATCATCCCCTTTGTCCCTCGCTCCAGACGGACACCACCACCCGTACAGTGACAGCCCAAACCGGCACCTATGGCTACACAATCTAGCCCACATTGGAAGGCTCTGGCCTCGACCCACCTGGAGAGGACATTGATATACGAGGGAAACCTCGTACTCGGACGCAACGCAGTTATTAGAATTTAACTTTTTTATATTTTTATATTTTATATGTATTTTTCTTTTTTCTTTATGTTTTCACACCCCTATCCTGACTATAAGCAAACCACACTCCAGCCGACACACTGAACACAACACCAGAGAGTCAATGGGGCCACATCCCTCCCCCCCCCCGCAACCCCCTTGGTTAGGGGCACCACGCATATCAGCTACCGCTGAAACAGCCCATGCACACAGGCCACACTGACAAACCACAACCCAAACTGGGAACCAACACTATCACATAAGCTGACACAGGTTACCTACTCAAACTCCATGAATCACTCACACAACAATGTTTCTCTGTGTTTCACGACTCCTATATATTTGTCTACAGAATGTCTAACATGTTGACCTTGTATATAATTGTTAAACGTTGAAAAAAAAAAAACAAATGTGCATACTGCTAGACATACCTAAGCTATAATGGACATGCATAATTTAAGAATGTCTTTGTCCTCTTGATATTTCTTATGCACAACTAAAATAAAGAATTTAAAAAAAAAAAAAAAAAATCTTTAATGTCTACCATTGTAAATTATATTTGAACAGCTAACATACCCTCTAATATAGTAAATACTTGCACTGATATTTTCCCCTTGAATTGGAATTATAGTATTCGCTTTATAAAAATTACATATATATATATATATATATATATATTTTTTTTTTTTTTCATTGAGCTGTTACCATAGTTGACGTTAATCGTTTTGTCATAAAACAGACTCTCTCTGGCCATTTTTTTCCTGTTAGATTCTGAGGAGGTCGACAGTGAGAATTACTCTAATTGTTTGGTCTTGTCTGACAGATCAGCGTGGTTTTCAGAGGAGCTAGGCCAATTTCATCTACAATCACTATCTTTTTACTGTAATAGAGAGGCTTTAAACCGAATTGACCAGAAGTATGTTAGTGATTCCTTTTGCGATACGTTTAGAAATGAAAGATTTTTTTTTATTTTTACCAATGCAATCAAGGGGTAAAACAATTGAAATGTATCATTCACTTGTCGAAAATAATGTGTTATTTAGCTAATAATATGCTCAATTAAATTGGAATATATAGCCATTAAGGAGTTGAAGCATAATTCTAAAATTTACTTCAAGCAGACAAAGGGGTGTTTGCATGGTTGGATTCCACTCCCCTATTACCTCGAGCTTTTATAATTTTGAATTTTACTTAATAAATATATATCTTTTGAGCAACTTCTCCATCCACTTTCTGGGAATTTTGTTTGCCTGTATTGGCACCTTTGAGCCTACAATACAGAGCCTGGGACGGCTCTGCATAATGTGAGTGATAGTCTGTTTTGCCCTATTCTTATTGTTTTTATACAGATTACACTATGTTGTATTTTATCTTATGCTTTTAGATACCACCTGATTATACTGACAAGCTCAGGTTGTATTTTTTGCATATCTATTACCTTTTCACGTTGTGTGGTTTGATATACATTTTGTCTTTGTTATTCACGTTTTATTGTGTTTGGGGAAACACTTTTATATCTTCCACCACTTTTATCTTTAGATTTACGAAGCGCCTATACACTAGTTTTTTGTCTTTTTTGAACTATTTTCTGTGTCTGCGTGTCATGTAATGTGTGTCTGTGTCACGGTGTGTGTGTGTCTTTGTCACAGTCTATCTGTGTTATGGTGTGTGTGTGTGTGTGTGTCAAGTGTGTGTGTCTTTTTTAAGGTGTGTGTCTGTCATGGTATGTGTGTGTCTCTGTCATGGTGTGTGTGTGTGTCTGTCTGTCATGGTGTGTCTGTGTTTCTGTCTGTAAACAAAAATGATGGAAGTGCACTCAACCCTCCATTCCAGAATCCATGGTGCTCCAATGGACCCAGTACCAACGTCCCAGTACCAAATAGGACCAAACACTGAGTTAAAAATAGAAATGAGTCCAGGCACTCCAATGAATTCCAAAGTGCAGGCTGTTTATTTAGAATCCAGGACCAAAAAGCAACGTTTTAATCCCTAAGGGATTGAAACGTTGCTTTTTGGTCCCCTAAGGGATTGAAACGTTGCTTTTTGGTCCTGGATTCTAAATAAACTGCCTGCACTTTGGAATTCATTGGAGTGCCTGGACTCATTTCTATTTTTAACTCTGTGTTTCTGTCTGTGTCACGGTGTGTGTGTTTGTGTCACGGTCTGTCTGTGTCATGGTGTGTGTCTGTCATGGTATGTGTGTGTGTACGTGTGTTTTTACTC